GCCAGGTTCTTGGCTGGAGGAAAACAGCCAAGAGTTAAGAAAATAGCAAACGGATATAAAACCTCGGCAGAGAAGCGTTTGCTGAAGAAGTCATAGGACAGGTTTGAGTGCAGCATGACTTTCGAAACACATGGACAATTTCCCGTGCGACGTACCACGATGGAGTAGTAATGGGCACTGCCGAAACGGAGCACCACTCTGGTGTTGAGGTCGTCCTGAAGCCAGCGGAGAGGAAGCAGCACCTCTTTCTCGTACCAAACCCAGCCGATGTAGTTCTCCAAGCTGGGGTCTTGAGTGATATCGTTGAAGCTGGCAGGCACTGGCATGTCAATCACAGGACCGGTCTGGCAGGAATTGCACAGAAAGGGAGGGAACAGATCATTTAAAAAAAGAAATTTTACTCTTGGCTGTCCAACCTGTACTGCTGGAGGTGTCCCCTTCCACTGACAGCCTTACAATCCCTTTGCCAAGTGGGAATGCTTGGGAAAACCTGTTTAGAAACTGGTGTGGTCTGTCACAGGTCCTACACACGTCCTACTTGATATCAGGCCCAGGAACCTGCCTGTTCCTACAGGAAGAAGCTGCTCCTATCTTTTTTCCTCCCTGATTTTATTCATGGTTCTGGTATTGAGGAATCAGAAAAGTGAAGGGAAAAAAAATAAATGCTCAGGCTGTTGTTTCAGCCTGGGATTTCCCACAAACTGTAGTTTCTCCTGCACAGCTCTAGCTGTTTGGTGAGCAATGCCGGTGGTGCTGCCTGTCAGGCTAAGAGCTGTAGTAGAAGGGTGGCAAGAGTGATGGATAATTTGGGCCAGATCCCCTAGCGAAGGTCCATGGAGACTGGCTGGGATGAGTCCAGCCTTTCTCACTCCCTGAAAGTAACATAGATTCCTTAGGATTACAATGGAGTCAACTCACTTGCTGGTTTTTAATATAAGGATTATAGGCAGGCAGTGCCATAATTCATTTAACATTGAGGTAACTGGCCACTATTGCAAAATGGTTCATTTTTAGCACCTGCTGCGCTCGTGATGTTGCACAAACAAGGGCTGCAGCAGCGCGCTTCCCCTTTCCTACGGAAGCCTTTCCACGGCGAGCGGAACGAGGGAGGCCTGGTCGCCCAGGGGTGAGCATCATGTGCGCGGCTGACTCAGCACTGAGCTGTGCCGCCACTGCAGAGAAACTCAGCGCCCGTATTAGACATCAGAAAATCCCTGGACGGTGAAGTGGATTTTCTAGTATCTGATACAGGATAACCTTGGACAGGGATGGCCATAACATGTGTCTCCTTCAGGGAGATTCTCTGATGTCTCAAGTAGGCTGAGCATACACGTCTAAGCCTCCCGTTGCGGGGGCGTAGTCCAGGATTCCTCTCCTCTGGCTGTCTCTTTTCACAAAACTCGCAGCATAGCGTCTGTCAGCTCTTCTCTCCTTCCACAATTTGGCAAAAAATTGGCCAAAGGGCTAAAACAGAATCGGTGAAGGGCACATACGTTTTATGCATAGAATACATAACTTCTGTCTTGTAGGTAACGGTGTTAATTTCATAATAGATTTCAGCTACACCAGGGCTTGTTTATCTGCACTTGGCTACTTTGGAATAAATAACTGAAGCCTGCCCTTTCAGGCATGCTTTTGTTTATTCCGTGCTGCTGACTGTAGGTAAATGTTGCGCCTCGCTTCTGCAGCGCGGGGATTTCTCCGACAGCTAAAGGAGGCTGTAGTTCATTCAAATGCTTTCTGGCTCCCGAGCCGAAGCAGGGTCACCGGAGAGTGCCGCTTTGCCTCGGTGACAAGGCAGCCCCCTGCACGGCGGTACGGCACTCGGCGGGGGCAGGCCCGCTGGGGAAGCAGAGGGCTGCTCTCGGGAGAGGAAGGAGGCCCGCTGTGCAGGGGGCCCTCCCGGGATCGAGTGCACCCTCAGCAAGTCTGCAGGTGACACCAAGCTGAGCGGTGCGGTTGACACGCCGGAGGCACGGGATGGGATCCAGAGGGAGCTGGGCAGGCTGGAGAGGTGGGCCTGGGTGAACCTCATGGGGTTCAACAAGGCCTAGTGCAGGGTCCTGCACCTGGGTGGGGGCAACCCCCAGTATCAGTACGGGCTGGGGGATGGAGGGATTGCATGCAGCCCTGCCGC